CAGTGGCGCCCTCACTGCAGAGCATCTGCACGTTCCAGCACCTCCAGAGGACAGCACGGAGGCGGTGGCGCGCCCTGGTGGGCGTGGCCCGCGCTCTGACGCACAGCGAGCGCGCCGACGCACTGCGTGTTGTGCGCACGCCGCCCGCGGGAGCTCGCCGGTGGCTAGAACGGCGGCGGCTGGCCGAGCGGGCAGAGCGGGCGCCAACCGCCCCGGGCACGGCGGGAGGCGGCGCGGGGCGGCTGGTGGAAGTCCCCGGGGCAGCCGGTCATGATCGACTCTGTGAAGCTCCGGCGCGACTGCGCGGCCGACTTCTTCTCTCACTACGAGTACCTGTGCGCGCTGCAGGACTCGGTGCCGCTGCCCGCCGTGCGCGCCTGCCTGAGGGACGGCGTGCTGGACTTCAATGCCGACCGGCTGCGCGCGGTGGACTGGGCGCCGCTGCTCAGCTCGCTCAGGGTGAACCGCGACCTGCCGCTGGTGGCCATCAAGAGCTCCTTCCAGCCGTGGCTCGGGGAGACAGTGCTGCGGTCTGGAGGTGCGAGGGGAGGGAGCCCGGTACAGCGGAAGCCTGAGAAGCGGCCTCCACCTAGCCACAAAGGAGTTTTTGCTGCCGCCTCCCTTGCAGGTTGCCGCCTCGGGCGGTTGTCTGGAGTAGTCAAGCTTGGGAGTAGAAGTGCCCCTTACTACAGCGAGGATGACCAGCTATGCTCCCCAAGGGGAATATGCAGGATAATTTAGCGAATGGTCCCTGTCCTCTCTTCTTTTTAGGGATTTAAATGTACAGTCTCCTCTCATTCGTAATTGCAAGTTTAATACAGAAAAGGGGAGGTTAAAATAGAAAGAGAAAAATGTATAACAAAAAATCTTCAGGGACGTCTTTTTATGATTTTTAGAAAAAAATATGTGTGTTTTGCCTTCGTGTGTGTATGTGCACTAAGTGTGCAGTGCCTGCCGAGTCCAGAAAAGGGACTAAGAGGTTGGAACCCCTGGAATCCATATGTGAACCACCATATGGATGCTGGGAACCGAACTCGAATCCTTGCAAGAACAGCAAGTATGCCCAACCGCTGAGCCATCTCTCCAGCCCAAGGGGCTATTACTTTTGACATATCGTTGTAAACAGTTGACTCTGGTTATTTGCAGATAAAGTGTTTGCAAGTTCCTTTTATTTAAATTGTTTAACTCGAAAGCCAAGTCTTTGTAGTGGTCATGTATGGTCATGTATGGTCATTCATGAACACCTGCCCAGCAACCAAAAAAGAATTACCATTCAATATGTATGTTCCTTACTGATTTGTGTATTTGTGTATCTTAGTATTGGCATATGTGCACAACTCAGAAACCAGAAAGGGGTGTTGGGTGTCCTTTGATTGCTCTCCACCCATTGTTTTGAGACAGGGTCTGTTTGCTCAGCTTGACTGGAAGCCAGCAAGCCCCAACTGCCCTCTTGACTCCACCCCCTTCCATGCTGAAGTTGCAAGTCCTGCTCCTGAGACCTAGTTTACATGGATCCTGGGATCTGAAACTCCAGACCCCAAGATTGTGCAGCAAATGCCCTTAACTACTGAGCCGTCTTTCCTGCTGAGTTTTCACACTCTCTTTTATTTTTAGATTTGCAAATAGTTGTTTGTGTGTATATGTATGTGGGATGTGTATGCACACACATGTGTGTGTTTGCATTTATGTACACATACACATGTTGTGGTGTGCATAGAGTCTAGAGGTTGACCCTGAATGACTTCATCTATTGCTTTACAATTTGTTTACTGAGGCTGGGTTTTTGGTTCTTTGTTTTCCCCTGAACTCTGGGGACTTGCTGATTCCTTTGTCTGCCTAGCTAGTTTGCCCCAGGGATCATCTCTTGTTCCTTCACAGATTGCATACAGGCTTTTACCTTTCTGGGGATCCAAATTTGGGTACTCAGCATTTTTCCCTACAAGCACCTTTATCAGTTTGGCCATCTCAGTTCCTAATCTCTTTTTCCCCGCCCCACCCGCCCCCCCCCCCCCCACCCTCCCTCCCTCCCCCCCTCTCTCTTTCTTTCTTTCTTTCTTTCCTTCTCTCTCTTTCTTTTTAAGAGTGCTATCATGAAAGGAAAACAAGTATTGGAAGTAACCTAATGTTTGAGTTTCATATTTTAAACTCTTAATTCTCACACATATAAAAAGCCATTGAAACAAGCCTGTTGCAGATTCTTAGGATAAAGCATGGTGTGTGTGTGTGTGTTGAGTGTCTTCAGGTTACTACTGGAAAGGGAAGGTGTGATACGCTAGGGGCAGATGTGACTATTTGAAAGTCTGGCCCTTTGCTAGGTCTGAGATAAGCAGTGTCTGTGATCCCTTCCTCAAGGACAGTGTTTGTACCTCTGAAGAATCCCTTGACTGCCATGGTAATTTAAGGAAATGCCCAAATTTAAGGAAAGATGAAAGGTGCCTTAGAATCAAGGCAAGCCTACCTGATCATGCTAGTATTTTATGTCAAGTATAAGGAGACCATTTCCCTTCAAGCATTCTTTTCGGCATTTCCATGTCTCATACCCCTAGACACCACTTGTTTCTCCCTCAGCTGTTTTGATTGTACTATTGAAGAAGCTCCTGGCTGGCTTTGCTGCTCCTGAACTCAGTTTCCCTTTGCACAGATGGTCTCACTTAGCACAGAACCAGCACTCCATTTCCCTCTGTGTAGATGGTCTCACTTGGCACAGAACCAGCACTCCATTTCCCTCTGTATTGATGGTCTCACTTAGCACAGAACCAGCACTCAGTTTTCCTCTCTGTATATGGTCTCACTTAGCACAGAACCAGCACGCACTAGCTGAAGTTTGTGTCTCCTTTACAAAGGCACTGGAAAATGAGCTGCACTCTAGCTAGGCCTGCTGGAAGGGGTGCTTTTCCTAACCTGTGTGATTCAGGTGCCTCTCTCTGTTCTTTCTCACTTTTCACACCTGTAGCATCTATATTCTCCAGCAGGTGTCAGGCTTGGATCCCTTTGCACACATAGTCTACTCCCGCCCTTTCTTTCTCCTGTATGCAAATTGAGGGCTTTCTTGAAGCCATGCCTTAGGTGTGTGGATTGATGTCTATATGCAGGATGCAGGTGAGAGAAGGCACAAGATAAAGTGAGAGACTGATTGGACAGTGGAAAAGGAAGGTGGACAGAGATTTTTAGAGAAAAGAAGGGGAGGGGGAAGAGGACACAGAAAGAAAAGGAAAGAAGATGGAGGAAGAAAAAGATGATCCAGATTCTGTTTGACTTTAAATAGCCACAGGTAGCTATGAATATCTTATAAGGGATGGATAATTACAGGACGATTTGTCTTATCTAGGTGGGCAATTTGTATCAATATCACTTGACTCTGAGTTCATTGTGTGGGCATTTTGTGGGGTGAGAATTTACTGATAACAAATCTCACTTATAAATTACAAGCCTCTAGAGTTTTGATTTTACCGGGTTACTGGGATTTGGGACTGCTTTTTTTTTTTTAATATTTCCCACAACATAGGTGCAACTTCTTTGCCTCCATAAGAAATAATACCATGTATGGTTTGTGTTTCTGTATCTCATGTGGCTGTGGAGTTTCTCTTTAAGGACATGGTTCATTTCCATGCCTTGGCACTGAGGAGTTTTGATACTAAAATTGTATGCTTGACATTACTGATTTTGCTGATAACTGATTCCCTGAATTTGTTTTAGGTGCTGATACACACAGAGTTTGTAGGAATCGAGTTCCTGTAATAAGGTCCAAAGACATGAGCTTCCAGCTATGTAAGGCTCTGAAAGGCTGCTTAAGTGTATCGGGTGTGCTAAGAAATCTGGAGCTAAATGGGCTGATTCTGAGAGAGAGAGATTTGACTAGTCTAACAAAGGTAAGCTTTGTTCATGTGACCTGCAACATTTGAAAGCTTGTTTTGGTGGGGAAATAATACATATTTTACTTTCTTCTATTAAGGGATTGAGTAAATCAGCCTCTTTGGTGCACCTGTCTCTTGCAAATTGTCCAATTGGAGACGGAGGTTTAGAAAGTGAGTCAAGTCTAACCCTTGTCCTGTGAGGATGGTCTCATGTTTGTCTGTATGCTGATAACCGTGTCTACCTTTTGGGCTGCTGCTTCCACCTGAGCTGTGTCCTTCCTGTGCTTGCTCAGATGCTGACCCTTCCTACCAGAAATCTTATCATGTTTAGTATTGTCTGAACTCTATTTAAGGTTGTGATATGCTGTAAAACAAACAGTTTGTAGTATTTGGTATTCTGTTATTTGTGTTTGCTCATAGTTTATGGTTTTCCTTTAAGAAATACTGGTGGGAGCCAGTTATGGTGACATATGCCTTTAATCCCAGTACCCAGGAGGTAGAGGCAGGAAGATCTCTTGAGTTTGAGGCCAAGTCTGGTCTATAGAACAAGTTCCAAGACAGCTAGGGCTACATAGAGACACATCGTTTCAAAAAACAAGCAAGCAAACAACAAAAAACAAAAACAAAAAAAACAAAAGAAAAAAATCTTTGTGAGAAGGGCAATAGTAAGGATGATGTAAAGAGAACATTAAGTCATCACCATCTCCAAGTAAAGCAGCTGTGATGCAATTGTGTGTTTGTTTGTTTATTTATCTGAGATAAGTTCTTACTGTATGGTTCTGGCTGTCTTGGAACTCACTATGTAGATCAGGCTGGCCTTGAGCTCACAGAGTTCTGTTTCCCAAGTGCCATTATGCCCAGCTTTAAAATGGAATTACAATGTCCATATATCAATAGGCAATATTTAAAGTATTTAGTTTTGGCAAATTAGTGGAATTAAGCCTTTGCTCTATGCTAGAATAATATTTTGTTACTGCAACCAATCTGTTAGTGTCTGGGAGGGTTGTAGAAAGTGACTTTAGGGATACACCTCTAAACTGGCAGAGCCTGAAGACAGCAGGTAAACTGAGATTGACCACATTGGCAGGCACTTGGTCTTACTGTGTGTCTTTTTCTTTCTTTTAGTCATTTGTCAAGGTATAAAGAACTCTGTCACTCTCAAGACAGTCAACTTCACAGGATGTAATCTGACATGGCAAGGAGCCTGTCATATGGCCAAAATCTTAAAGGTGACCTTTGACTGACTGATATGATTGAAGCACATTAATACTTTGCTGTGGGGTTGCAATAATTTTTGTCTATCAGCATAGAAACTGCAATTTTAGTTTTATTGCATGTTGTAACCATTGCCTAGCTTGGGATTCTGACCCTTAAAGATACACACATTTAATCTTAAAAAAATAAGACTTTAAAGTATAATACTTCATAAATAATACTTGTTATTTTAGTTGTTGAAAACATTGCAGCACCAGAAGAAACTTTATACTGTTACAGTCTTTAATTATTGACATCATTTTTTTTTTTTTTTGGTTTGGTTTTTTTCGAGACAGGGTTTCTCTGTGTAGCCCTGGCTGTCCTGGAACTCACTCTGTAGACCAGGCTAGCCTCGAACTCAGAAATCCGCCTGCCTCTGCCTCCCAAGTGCTGGGATTAAAGGCGTGCGCCACCACCGCCCGGCTAGTGACATCATTTTTAACTACTATAATTTATAAACTAATAAAAACAGTTCATTCAGTCTTTATAGTTGTAATAATTACTACATTAGGACTAAAGTTACTTAACATTTTGACATGAGCCTTTTTGTAGGTTTTTGTTGTTTGTTTGTTTGTTTGTTTGGGGTTAGGGGTTGAAACAGGATATGGCTTTGTGGTCCAGTCTGTGCTCAAACTCTTCGTGTCAGCCATACTGGCCTGGGACTTGCTTTGGTCCTTTTCCTCCAGCCTCCCGAGTACTAGGTTAGAGGTGTATGTCACCTCAGCTGCCTTGATTTTGTAGTTTGATGGCACAGATCAAAGGTAGACCTGAGGGCTATGGACCAAATATGGCCCATTACATATTTTTTGTAAGGAACGGTTCTGAAGACCACAACCCTGCCTAGCTGTGTGCTTAGTAGCTGGCTACTTTTGCCTTACATCAGGAGAGTTGAGTAGTTGGCAAAGGAAACTGACCCATGGAGCTGAAAATGTTTACTTTTGAATTTTTACAGAGTAAACCTCTGACCCTTGTGATAAATATTGGTTAAGAGCATGGACTCTGTTTTCTGATATGGTGATTTTGTGAGGTTTTCATTGTTGGTGGTACGCGTGTGTGTGGGGGGTGGGTGGGTGGGTGTGTGTGTTGGGAGGTTACAGGGGATTAAACTAAAGCCAACACTTAGGGCAAGTGCTCTACCACTTGGCTATATTCTAGTTGTACTTTTGACTTTTTATTTTGAAACTGGTTCTCTGTAAGTTGCTTAGACTGGCCATGAACTTACTCTGAAGCCCTGACAGACACTGGACCTGGAATGCTCCTGCCTCAACCTACCGAGTAGCTGGGATTATAGCCCTTACCACTAGCCCAGCTATGTGTATGGATGCTAGGCTAGTGGCTTTAGTTTAGCCCTCACCCGTTTAATATCTTGTGACCATAGGCAAGTTGCTTCACCTCTGTAAAATCCCTGTTCATCTGAGGATCTCGTGGGCTATCTTCCCTAAGACAGCGGTGCAGTGTTTGTTAATTGTTGCTTTGATGTGGTCATTCTGTAAAGTGGTGTCAGTGTTACTCCTGGTGCCCTTTCACAGCTGCTTGACTCTTTTCATGTTCCAGTGGGAAGGCTTTTATTTTCCATTGTAGTCTCAGTGTCCCGGGTAGACAGAGTTTCCCTGGTGAATATAGAGAATTGGTTACAGTCTTAGAGGCTACAACTGTGATTACAAATCAAATAGTTTTTACCTAAGGCATATCAGACTCTCTCTGCGTATTCTAGGACACTAAAGATGGTAAGTATGTATGCCCTAAAAAGTATATGTGAGCCATTGGGTTAAAATATGATGTTGCAGCCTCTGAATGTATTTTCTTATCATCTAAAAGTTGTCCTTGTTGGCCTGACTACTCAGTAGTAGAGCACTTTGCTTTGCATGCCCATGGCTCTGGATATTGAGGAACAGCCTCAGTATCATGCAAGCACACACAGATTTTGGTATTTCGGTATACATAAACCATACATAAAATATTTATTTAGCTTTATATAGCTTATTAATAACCATGATACATGCTAAATATTTGAATTGTAGTGGAGACGATTAGAGGACAGGATAGAGTTTAGAACTGTAGTAAAGTTAAACCAGTTCTTTAATGAGGCAGAAAAGGAAAAGAAACTATCTTAAACTTTAGTGACTTGTCTTTTTACATAACTTGAACAGCTGTCACCTGTGGCTGTTCTCATAACTCAAGCCCTGTGGTGAAATATTCTGAGGGCAGATTACCACCATATTTGTTTTTAGCGGGGTGTGGTGTATAATCGGCTATGCCTAGTTTCCTTCTGCAGCGTCTGAGTCCATGCTGTTATTTTTGAAGTATCAAACCATGAAAAGGCATGAAGAAACCTGGGCTGAGAGTCTTCGCTACAGGAGGCCCGATCTTGACTGCATGGCTGGCTTAAGGCGCATCACACTGAATTGCAACACACTCATTGGTGACCAAGGTGCAAGTGCTTTTGCAGACTCTCTTAGTGAGGACTTATGGCTTCGGGGTAAGTTGAAGGAGTTTTGGAAATCAGAAACTCTCTAGCAGCTTTTACTGTACTTCTTTCCTGAAGTCACCTATATTCTCCATAGAAAACAAGGTTACTAGCAATCAAAACATCTAGAAGTTTCCACTGTTCATTTTGGCATATTTTCAGCCTTTAAAAAAAAAAAAAAGATTTGTCTGTATACTTAGAGCTTATAGCCACTGATTTTATTTACAAGTAGGAATGTGTGAGTGTGTGTGTGTGTGTGTGTGTGTGTGTGTGTGTGTGTGTGAGAGAGAGAGAGAGAGAGAGAGAGAAAGAGAGAGAGAGAGAGAGAGAGAGAGAGAGAAGGGGGGAAGAGATATCTAATGCTTAGTTGTCCTGAGCTCAGCAGTACAGCTTTATCTAGAGTACAGGTGGTCTTGAGGTCTTGAGTGCTATTCTTAGTTCCACAATTTTTTTTTACTGTATGCACATTTTAAAGCATTTTCATATATGATCTTGACATAATTAAATAAATCAACAACTATACTTTATTACTATTTTAATATATATGCTATAAAATGCATACATTTTATGTATTTATGTATGTATGTATGTATGTATGTATGTATGTATGTATGCATTGTTGTTGTTTTCTAGACAGAATTTAACTAGGTATCTCTAGCTAGTTTGGAACTTGTTGTGTAGTCCAGGCTAGTCTTGAACTCCCAGAACTTGTCTCTGCCTTCTGAGTGCTGGGATAAAAGGCATACTCTAGCGTACCTGATTGCTATTTAATTTTAAGATTTTAAAAACAAACATTTGTTTATTTACTTTGGGTGTGGGTGTGGTTTCGAGTTTGTGTGCCACAGTACACATGTGGAGGGCAGAGGACAACTTGCTAACATTGGTTCCCTCCTTCAACCACGTGGGTTCCAAGGCTGAAGCTTGAGTGGTCTGTCTTGGCAGCAAGTACCTTTACCTGCTGAGCCTTCTTGCTGCCCTGGGTTCCATCACCATAGTTGGTGTTCATTTGATGGTCTAGTGAAATTTATGGCTATTAATAGCTCAGGTAGTTGCTTGTATCTTTTGTGTTGAGAGGTGTCTTAGTTTGGGCTGTTATAGATTTCTACAGACTGGTGGCTTAAACAGCAGGAGTTTATTTCTCCTAGCTTTGGGGCCTGGGAAGTCCAGGGTTAGGCACTGACAGCTCAGGTTTAGAGCCAGCTCTCTCCCTGCTTGTGCAAGGCGGCCCTTGTTTCCGTTTCTTAGCCTAGTCTGCTTTCTACTGCTGTGATAGAAAACTTACTGTCTTAGTCACTGTGAAGAGACACTGTGACCAAGGGCATTCTGACAAAAGAAGACATTTTGTTTGGAGCTTGCTTACAGGTTCAGAGGTTTAGTCTGTTGTCAGCATGGTGGGGAGCATGGGTGCACACAGGCAGACATGGTGCTGGAGCAGTAGCTGAGAGTTCTACATCCTGATCTGCAGGCAGTAGGAGTAGAGAGACTGGGCCTGGCATGAGCTTTTTAAACCTTGAAGCCTACCACCAGCGATACATTCTCCTCTGCCCCTGACCCTACACACACACAAGGCCATACCTACTCAAGGCCACACCTCTCCCTGGTAACTAAGCTTTCAAATATATGAGCCTATGGGGGCCGTTCTTACTCAAATCACCACACTTACCAATACAACTTCAGGAAGAAAGTTTTTTGTTTGTTTGTTTATATAGCTTACAGTCCTTCATAAAGCGAAATCAGGGTAGGCATTCTTCTATTTAATGTATATGATGTTTCTTCTATACGTATGTCTGTGTACCATAGTCATACCTACTGCCCACGAGGCCAGAAAAGAATACTGGGTCTCCTGGGACTGGAGTTACTGTTGTGAGCTGTTATGTAGGTGTTGGGAATGGAACCCAGGCCCTCTGGAAGAGCAGGGATGCTCCTAGCCATCTCTCCAGTGCTTTCTTTATTAAACAGTAGTTTTCTGAGATTCCTTTGGAGTTCAGGATTGTGAGTCCAAGAACTAAGTGCAATGTTTACACTGCCGTCAGCATCATGAACTGATACTTGTGTGTGATACTCTCTCGTACTGTGGGGAGTTACTGTTTCTGCAGATGGGTGGAGTGAGGTCACTGTAGCACATTGTAGAAGAGGCTTATTATTATTACTACTATATTATCTTTGCATATGCTTTTCTGACTTTTTTTAATACTCAAGATTTAAAACTACCTTGACTAGTCTTGTTCAGGAATGTCCTAAGCATGAGTGAGAATTGTCTGTGTTAAACTGTGTGGAGTCAGGAAGTGACCTGTTGTCTTTCTTCAAAAGCACTTGACCTGCAGCAGTGCGGCCTTACCAGTGAAGGTGCCAAGGCTTTACTGGAGGCCCTGGAAACCAACAGAACCCTGGTCGTTCTGGATATAAGGAAAAACCCACTTATTGGTATGTCGTCTGTTTAAAAATTAACTGATAAATGGCATAAAAATGAGTGTTTGTGTATTGGAATTTTAAAAAACTTGATGTATTTATTTTCTTGTTTTATAACTTTGTGATTGTAGCAGCTACTGTATTGTTTTAAATGAGTTGTACCTGGGTTGTTCAGGTGGCTACTGATTCCAGTGAGCCTAGATGAAAAGACCATTTCTCTCAGAGCACTCCCTCAGTCCGTCTGAATCTCTGACTCTTGGGAAGAAAGTTTCATTTGTTTGCTAATTTGTAAAGAAATTTTAGATTTTGTATGAGTCTAACCACTGGTTCAGATACTAAGCATATAACAGTCTACCAGCCAGAGTCTTGCTGTCCATCAATAAGGGAGTTCAAATGTAAATATGTAAGTTAATAATGAGTTTTAAGTAGTAGAAAGTGCAAAAAGAATTTAATAAGACAGATGAGGTACTTGCTTGAGGACTGACACTTGAGTGGACAGCTGAATGAACAGCATGTGTGGGTGTATAGATACAAGATGGCAGGAGGGATAGAGGATTTAAGGGAAAAACAAGGCAGGGGCTGTAGAGATGGGTCAGTGGTTAGAGCATTTAGTATAGTTGCAGTGACCCAGATTTGGTTCCCAGCTCCCACATCAAACTACTTACAACCACCTGTAACTCCAGTTCCAAGGGATCCAGTGCCCTCTTCTTCCCTCCATGGGCATCTGCTGCATACACATTGTGCCCAGACAAACAAGCCAAAAGATATAAGCTGATAAATAATAAATAGTAAATAAATCTTGTGCTGTGTGGTCAAGCAGGAGCCAGGGACTTGATAGTGTTAGATCTTCATTGTCAGGTAAGGACAAAGCTAAGTGAGCTGAGATAGACAAAGGCATAATCTGAGTAGTCTTTCAGTCAGAAGACCTTCATGTGGAGTATAGTACTGGAGCCAGGGAGAAGAGAAGGGACCAGCTAGGAGGCTAGCACAGAGGGCCAAGCCGGTGGTGGTAGCAGTACTGAGAGGGGGCTGGGAGCAGAGCACTGTTGAAGCGGTGTCCTGACTTAGGTTTGGCTGTGCTAGTTAGTTGCCTTGGGGATGGGGGGGGTGATGTTGGGATAGTGCAACCTTTAATTATCTATGCAAGGGCTCCAGAGCCACGTCAGACCTAAAGTGCTGGTGGATGATGAGAAAGTATTACAGTACACCAAGCTTGTGAGGAAGAAGAACATTCAGAAGCAGAAATGAGTTTGTTGTTTAGTTGTATGGGAAAACAGCGGTTAGCTGGCTTCTGTTTATAAGTAGGTAGTCAGTCACCGGGGTATACATTGAACAATCTCACTTTTCTTCTACTTCAGATCACTCTATGATGAAAGCAGTTATCAAAAAGGTTCTCCAGAACGGAAGGAGTGCAAATTCAGAGGTATAGCTCCTGTCAGTCTGGTGGGCAGAATTTTCGTTTACTGTTTCTTCTGCTTTTAGTAAAATTTTTGATATTTTTTGCTATCTGAAGTAAAATCAGGTGACTTTTCTGTTTTTTAAAATGTATCATTATTCAATTTAGAATCTGAGAACTAAGAATTGCAAAGCTTTATTAAGTATAAAATATCTTTGTCATGTCCAGCTACAGTCAAGTCCTGTTATCTGTAGCTGATGTCACCTGTCTCTCTCTTCTAGTACCAGTGGGTAACGTCCCCGTCATTGAAGGAACCATCCAAAACCGCTAAGCAGAAAAAGAAAACAATTGTCCTAGGAAGCAGTCGGAAAGGAAAAGCTACCATTAGAATTGGTAACTGTCTGTCTTTGCTTTTTATGTCACCAACACTCGCACCTACCTTGTGTTAGTATGTTAGTATTAAGGTCTCATCTCTTGGGTAATAACCAATGCTGATTATAGTATATTCTGGGGCCTAGACTATAATTACTCTAATCCAGGTTATGAAAATTCATGGCGGGTAGAAATAGTAAATGAATCATTTGGAAGGATTGTAAGCATTACTGTTTTTTAAATTAACAGTTGTTTGTTTTTTAACATATAAAATATTCATCATGTTGACTGTTTTCTGAATGATGATTATTCTTAATAATTTACAGTTGAGATTTGTAATGCTCTCTGACGCAGGCTTACTTAGCAAACAGTGCTGGGGATTGAACCCAGGATCTCATGCTTGGGAGGCAAGTGCTCTACCACTGACTATAAAAACAGTGTTGAAGACAAGTTTTTTTATCTAGAGCTAGAACATTGTAGGAAAATGTTCCTTGCTTTTTTTCTGAAATTTGTTCTTGCTGTGTTGCCCAGATTGACCTGGGACTTGAGATTGTTTTATCTCAAACTTCTGAGCAGTTGTGGTGCAGATAAACAACACCAGGCCCAGCTAGAAAAACATTTTTGTCTTAGTTAGGGTTTCTGTTGTGTGACAAAGCAGCATAACCAAAAGCAGCTTGAGGAGGGAGGGGATTTATTTCAGTTTCTGCTTGCACATGACAGTCCATCATCCAGGGAAGTAAGAATAGGACCCCAAGACAGGAACGTGGAAGCAGGTGCTGATGCAGGGGACATTGGAGAGGGCTGTTTACTGGCTTGCTCATCCTTGCAGTGGTTATTATCATGGCGGTTAGCTACACCCCCTTGTTGCCTTTAAATATCTACTAGGGGTTTCTATCCCACTTCAGATCAATTAGATACCCAAATGAAGGATGCAGGGACCTTTAGATTTATAATAAGCTTTAGAGCACTAGATCTGGGCACATTTCAATCCTCTATGCTATTTTGTCTGTTTCCCTGTCAGCAACCCCGAGATATTACTTGCCATGTTTCCTCTGGGCTGCTCCACAGGCCAGGCCTTGTGGCCATGTGCTCATGATCCATGCTGCCCTATGGCGACCTCTTCCTTCTCTCTTACTCTTCCTGGTCCCTATGTGAGACCTCAAGCCCAGGGAACCTTTTCTGAAAATCAAAGAAATGATAAATGCTATAAGAGGTCATATGTGGTCTACTACTGTAGATTGAATTGTTTGTTCTGTGAAGGTAATTAACTTAAAAAATGGAAGTACTTGGAAGATAGAGGCATGAGGATCAGAAGTTCAAGGAGATCTTCAGCTATATAGCAAGTTTGAGGCTAGCCTGGGCTACATGAGACTCTGACTTAAAAAATAATAGTAATAAAATGAAAAATGCAATAGCACAGGATGAACAGAGTTCCTGCATATAACATTAATATATGCAGAAAATGGCACAGGACTGAGTGGTGGTGACACACTTGTCTTGGGCCACTGAGATGGCCAGTGGGTGAAGGCAGTTACCAGCAAGCCTGATGCCCTGAGATCAGTTCTCAGGACCCGTGTGTTGGAAGGAGATTATTGACTCCTGCAAGTTGTCCTCTGATCACCACCTTTCTGCCACAGCATACATACACAAATCAGTGTAACTTTACAGAAATTAACTTTAGGGTACTGGAGAGATGGCTCAGTGGTTAAGAACACTGAACTTCCAAAGCACCTGAGTTCAATTCCCAGCACCTACATAGCAGATCTGTAACTCTAAGATCTGATCGTCACACAGATATTCATGCAGGCAAAACACCAATGCAAATAAAATAAAAACAGATATTTTAAAAATTAACTCTAAGAGAATTATGTTGTATATTACTGCATATGCAGCACCATAGATGGCAGCCCAACACTGCTGAAGTCCTAACATGTAAAAGAGGCCAGGAAGATAAACACAGCAACCATTTTGTTTTGTTTTTATTACATTTTGGGTTTTTTAAAAACAGGATCTCACCATAAGGCTGACATAAAACTCGGGCTGAGATGAAATAGAACTGTTGTAGTAAACCTTTGTTATTTGTTTTCATGATAGCAGCAACAAAAACTTAATGTGAGCTTGAGGATTTGTTATAATTAAAGTGTTAATATATGGGTTTAGCTGCTACATGTATTTCATGTTTAAGCCTTTCATTTAATCTTTTTTTTTTGATAAATTTTGCATTTGATATCTCTCTCTCTCTCTTTCTCTCTTTCTTTCTTCCTCTCTCTCTCTCTCTCTCTCTCTCTCTCTCTCTCTCTCTCTCTCTCTGTGTGTGTGTGTGTGTGTGTGTGTTTGTTAACTCTTGTGAGGACTGAAAGCCATCAAATTGAGGACATCCACTCAGCAACCTTTAGCCTATTTGCAGGTATTCCTGTAATCCACTTACTTATAAGGGAGAGGCCAGAGGGTTGTGAGTTCAAGTGTAGCCTGAACTACCTAGGGAAAACCTGTTCCAAAACAGGTTTATAAATTACTCGTAATGGTTTTGGTGTCATAGTCCGTTGTTCATTTGTGTTATGTTAGGAGTGTGTGAATGGTACTCTGTAGACCTTTAGTGCATCCTGGTTTTCATTAATCACTTCCTTGAACATCGGTTTAGCTACAAAGAAACCTGTGAGTAATGGGAGAAAACATGGGCTCAGTAAAGACTGCTATGCTCCTGACCCTCTGCCTCCAGGAGCGTCTGGTTTCTTGCCCTGGCGCACGGCAGAACGTGCAAAAAGAAGCAGGTAAGGTGTTCTTTCCTGTGCCTTAGTCCCGATAGCTATAATTTGGGAACTTCTATTATGTAGTTCTTCTATTGATTCTGGAAGTGGAAGGGGCTAGCTCACACACAGCCTCTGCCCAAAGAGTGCCCTAAGGAAAGATAACAAAAAAGTGTGGGTCCCCTGGAGCTGAATGTGTACAAGTAACCTGTCGGCCATTCTGCTCAGTCTGTTTGGTTTTTTTCATAGCTTATTTTGAGGTATTTAGTACTCTGGGTCTATATGAACAGTGTACATAATGCAAATAAGTTTGATACTGTAGTATACATACATCAAAATGTAAGTTAATTTGTTGATACCTTTTTAGGAGTTCTTCATTAATCAAAACTCATGATCTGTCTAATCACCTGAAGGTATGTATTTGTCATATTTCTAACATAAAAGATCAGAGTAGGTCAACTAAAAGGAGCTTTGTAAAATGGACTTTCTTCCCTGAAATAAATAAATTTAAAGTCTCCTGATTGCTGTCCCAGTGCCATGGTACAGAGTATTGTGCTTTCTATGCATATGACACACACTAGGGAGGCCTGTGGTTTCATCCGTAGATACCCCATTTCTCCAGGCAACATAGAAGCTGATGCTCACAATAGGTTTGACCGTTGTTTCTCACCATTATGGAGCTCATCACTAAAACATGTCTCAGTTTTTAAGGAATGTTGCTTTGGGTACATGTATATGTTACACACATACACACACACACACACACACACACACATACACACACACTCACTCTACACGTTAAAGTCAGGGCTACAAACAGTCCCTATCCCACTGGCTCAGATCTGGAGCAGGCTAATTCTGTCAGACTCCTGTATCCTCCTGTAGTTAGTTGTCCATGGAGGCCACAGATCTCTAAAGAGTAGGAGGAGATCATTTAATGTACCACCCTGCGTGTCAGCACTACACTCTACACACTGAGGTGTTAGGATGCCATCTTGTTCTGTCATCGAGGGTTTGCCTATCCTGCAGAGTTGTCCCTGCACTACTTCAGTCTGTACATCTTCAGTAGTGTTATGACCACATCAGTTTTTAGCTATAGGGAAACCTTATCGAAGCTTGACAGGAGGATCAGACTGTTCCTACACTAGTTCAGGCTGCAGGATGCAGAGAGGATGAGGTGTGCAACTTTCAGTTGTGTATATGGATGTGATTTAATTTTTAAAACCATTCTAGTATTTATTAATTACACTTACTGACTTTATATTCTGTTCATTCTTTTCCTCCTAAGAATTATACTTCTGCACTCTTGATGTCTCATAGTAGAGAATAAATCTATCATCTGCGTTATAAAAGTTGACTTGAAAAAGAAGTGTTTATTTTGACTCCCCACTTGATTCATGTAAGAGGAACTTAGCAAATATGTGCAATGCCAAGCAGTAGTCAGCCATATGTATGTAGTACATGGTTTTGTAGTTAACAGCAAGAATAAGTTAGTGGCATTTTTCTGTTACTGATTGTTTTAGGCTAAGGAACAGTGGATACATTTAGAGAAAAATCACTTGATATTTTAGACAGATCGATTTGATTAGGTGTCCTTTGGTGTTTAGTATTTGGCTTATGGTATTAATAAGTCAAGTCCTCTTTATTTAAGCAATCAGATTTTCCTGTGACTGTGACAGTAGAAAGTCCTTCATCCTCAGAGACTGACGACGAGACTGAAGAGTCTTCAGAAAGTGTCCGTGAAGTGCCTCAGAAAACCAGCATAAGACAAGAAACGTTACAGGTACACAGCTCCTCCTTTCAAGGTACAGAGACTGTTGCAAAGATCATTTCAAAGTATAATCGCTTCTGTTGGTGAAGCTTGATTGTGAAACAAAACAGGCAGCTCACTGGAGTCCTGCTTGCCTCTCAGTTCTAAAACTTACTCTCCTCGGTGGTGCAGAACAAGGCGAGAGGAGAGTATGCGTACGCTACAAAATAAAACAGGGCACCAATATTTCCTCTTTTTAGAATCAGAATTTTAGCTGTAACGAGAACAGTAATGACCATAAAATAAACTTAAGGACACATAGTCATACATAGTCAGCTGATTCAGTGCTGTGTGTGTGTGTATCTATACATGTGTTCATTAGGTATGCATGTGGAGGCCTGAGGACAGCCTTAGGTGTCATTCCTCAGTTGTCATCCACACTGGGTCTGTTGTTTGAGGCAGTTGGCTTTTTTTTTTTTGTTTTGGTTTGGTTTTTTATTTTTTTATTTTTTTTGGTTTTTCGAGACAGGGTTTCTTTGTGTACTCCTGGCTGTCCTAGAACTCACTCTGTAGACCAGGCCAGCCTCAAACTCAGAAATCCATCTGGCTCTGCCTCCTAAGTGCTAGGATTAAAGGTGTGCGCCACCACTGCCCCGTGTTTGTTTGGTTTTAAGATAAAGTCTTTCATTGGTTCAGAATTTGCCAGTTAGGTTTGTCTGCCTGGCCAGTGCTCTGCCCACATGCTTCTGGGGTGCTGAGATTGTGTGTCCACCACCACACCCTGCCTCTTGCCATGCTCTGAGAATCACCTTAGTCCTTATGCATGTGTGACCTGCCTTTGACTGGGATAAAATTCCTCAGCCCAGCCCCGTGATATGAAAGGCCAGCAAATTGATGATAGTGCTAGCTGAACTCTTATCATAATTGAAATATAACTTTGTTTTTAGTAAAAGTAAAATTGAAAAGAGGTTCTTTTGTTTTAAGATAGAGTCTTACGTAGCTCAAGTTGTCCTTGAAGTCATTGCACCTCAGACTGGCCTTGAGTTCCTGGTCTTCTCCTAGCCTCCTATGTAAGCTACCACCCCTAGCTTTGAAAAACTTTTGCTACTGATACTACCCTTTCACAATTTTAAAAAATTAAGAAACTATACTTTATGTTAAATCTGGGCATCAAATATTATTCCATTTTTCTGTTTAGGTAAGCAAAAAAGAAAATTAGCTTATTTAGCAGATTTTTGTACCTTAAACATAAGGTTCATTTGGACTTTAAATCAGAGCTGATTTGTAATAAGTTCTGGGAGAACTTGTCTTTTAGGAAAATCTTGCCTTTTCTTATGGGTTATATGATTCACATGTAATTAGGGGTAGCAGCTAGGACCTGGGTTTGAACTTAAAACCTCATACTGTTCAACATGCATGCTATCACTGAACCATACCACCAGTCTCACAGTGACTGCTTAAAACAAGGTCTGCCTTGGTATGGAACTTACAAATCCAGAAATGGCTATCCATCTGTTGTTTGTTTGTTTGTTTATTGGCTTAAAACAGCAGAGATTTGATTTTTCACATTTCTGAGAGCAAGGACGTCCATAATCAAGGTCCACCTGGTTTGTGTGTAACGGTTAGGGCCCAGATTTCTAGTTCCCAGATGGTGCCTTCTCAAAATGTCATTAATGGTTGAAGGGCAGTTATGTATCTAATTTATTTTATTTAAAGTTAGCTACGGGATACAGCTTCAATGGCAAACCAGTTTCCTGGCCAGCATGTAAGGCCTTAGGTTCAGTCCCAAGCATTGCACATCCCCTGAGGATACATGCCACAGCTGCTTTTCTTTTTTAATTAAAATTCACAATGCTTATATAGAGCATTCTTGAAGTATCACTTACAAAATGACAGACTTTAGAAGAGAACACTGTTCGTCTTGTCTGTACAGAGCCCGAGTGGTTTGTTGCTAAGGTTCAGAGGAGCGTTGAGCCCTCAGCAGTGTTTTCAAGATGTTGGATTGGTTTCCTTCTCCAGGGAGAGAGCTTGGTCAGTTTTATGGGTTGTTCTGTTTTGTTTCCCTTCTGATTGTTTAAACGCTAGAGACTGCACTTTATCCATGATGGACAAGCTTTCTATTACTGGTCTGTGACCGTACCCAGGAGACAATTCATCAAAAGTGTCTATGTCACTAAGGAAGACCAAGGCTAGGAGCTGCAACTAGAGAGTTTCTTACTCGAGGTGTACTGAGGACCCTCTTAGTGTATATTCACTTTGAGAATCAGCTAAAACGTGTAAGCCCACAGTAAAGACAGTAGAAGGGATTCTCACTTAACTAAACGAGAAGGTGAGTGGGAAGAAGTGTAACTGATCCAGTACAACATGGGAAATCATCACTTAGTGCTGGGGTAGCCTGCAGCTTGGAGGGAACCTAACCTGTGTTCTACTGTGCAGTTGGAAATGGGACATGCCAGGAGGCTTCCTGAGGGTCTGAGGGTCTAAGGGCGGTGCTGGACAGTCTTAGGTGGTCTTTCCGTGAGTATTCTCTATGGACTTTATTCTGTGCACATTTTGGCATATCAGTGTTCTGTGGCTAAAAGCCTGCCTCAGGCAGTGGCTGCCCTTGAGTGCTGAATGTGCTTGTGGGAACAGACTGATCATAAGCCTGTCTATAGTAATTGAATTCACGTGTTCTTTCATTTTGCACTGACTAATTGTGAATTCATGCATTCTGAGTTTGTATATGTGCTAATTCATGTAATTACTGTGTATTCAGTAGATAAGGAAATCAGGACCCAGAGTTATAGAATTTGCTAGTTAATGGGCCAGGACTTTGCCCTCAGAGAATTTTCAGTTTTTAGGGAAAAAAAAATCAAAAACCAAAATTTAACTGCTAACTATTAAGCAAAGAAATGGAGACTAGAGGACAAGGGCAGGCTTCTCCACTTGTTCATTTGAAGAAAACCATATTCTTAAACACATTTTATATGGCCAGGGCTTCTTCCTTCATTCTTTATTGCCTGCTTTCCTTGTGCTAGGCATAGGAGGTGATAGAATGAATGCTTAATAAAAGATGTTTTTCTTATGCATCTCACAGCTTCCATGGGGAAAGTGAGTCATAGGAGATATGATGTATCAGAGTGATAGGCTGGCTTAGTGTGGTTTCTGTTGTTGCCACAAAACACTATGACCAAATAGCAAGTTGGGAGGAAAGAGTTTATTCAGCTTACATTTCCACACTGCTGTTCATCACCAAAGGAAGTCAGGACAAAAACTCAGGCAGGGCAGGAACCTGGAGACAGCAGCTGATGCAGAGACCATGCAAGAGTGCCGCTTACTGGCTTGCTTTACATGGCTTGCTCAACCTGTCTTCTTATAGGACCCAGGACCACCAGCCCAGGGATGACATTACCCATAATCGGCTGGGCCCTCCCACATTGGTCATTAATTGAGAAAATGCCTTACAGCTGGGTCTTATGGAGGCATCTCCTCAATTGAGGCTCCTTCCTCTTTGATGACTCCAGCTTGTGTCAAGTTGACATAAAACCATCCAGTACATCAACTTTGTTACTGGAAGCAGTGTCAAATCCTAGGCATGTGTCAGAAAGCTGTTAGGGCACAGGTTCATCCAATATATACCGAGAGACTGAGGCAGGAGGATGGAGAGTTTGAGTCCAGACTGAGCTACATAGTAAGCCATTATCTCATGAAGAGTGCTAAGAGGAGGGACACTTGATACAAATCTGACTCCCTCCACTAGAGGGAGAAGCTGTTTCGTGACATTGCACTTGGCTGTGCTGTGGAGAGCCTGTCAGAAATGGAGATGTCAAGAGATTGCCCAGGATTGGGTGGAACTTTGCAGAGATGACACTGTTTCGGTGTCACCCATGCCCCTTTAACCCCTCATTTGTGCCATACAAGTGACTCCAGGAAGCTCATTGGCTTGCAAAGGAAAGGCACACTGTAGTCCCTTTCTCAAGCTGTGGTGCGTTATATCATGTGAATCATAAACACAGGAGTTTGCAGTGTCTTTCCATAAATGAATTTTATGTGCTGATGAGACGGTCAGTAGTTGAAGGTTCTGCCAAGCCTCATAACCTGAGTTCCATCGCCAGGATCCACATGTCCCCATGGTGGAAGAGAAGGTGTTGTCTGACCTCCATGTATGCACTGTGGCACATGTATGCTTCACAGACAGCATGCCATAAAATGACCTGAGCATTTTATGTTAGTTCTAGGAACCATTAGTTGTGGCTCTGGAAACGGGGCTCAGCAGCTAAGAGCATGTGGCGCTCTTACAGAGGACTTGAGTTCAGTTCCTACTGTGCTTGTCACATGGCTCTCAGCCTCCTGTAACTCCAGTTCCAGGGGACCCCGTGCCCTCGTCTCCCTCTACAGACACTGCACGCACATGCAGAAATCCATTCCCACATGCACATGATAGAAGTTTATAAAAGATCAATCTTTAAAGAGAAAAGGAATTTGATGTGATCAAAGCATTTAACAATATTCAGACATACAGTCTGAGTGTAAAAGTACTCACTTCCATTGAGGAAATATTTTAAAACACTTTGTTGAAAGGGAGACAACTTTGTTAACACACACTTAGATATTTTATATCTTTGTTTTCATTAAATATATGACAGTACTTTTTAAAAGATTTTTATTTTATGTGTATGAATGTTTTGAGGTCATGTATGTATGTACCACATGTGTGTCTAATACCCAACAAGCCCTGAAAAGGGATCAGATCCCTGGAAGCAGGTGTGAGCTGCTGTTTGGGTGCTAGACATGTAGCTGCTGAGCTATCTCAGTGGTCCCAATTAAACTTTTAAATTAAAATTCTGTGTTTAAGTAAATATTCAGATGCACTTAAAATATAAACCCAGAGGCCAGGGCGTTAGCTCAGTGCTTAATTACTTGTCATTAAAGCTTAAGGTCTGTAGTTTGGATCACAACCAGCAGAAATGCAAGGTGCGTGTGGTGGCTCACCTGTACTTCCAGTCTCTGAATGCAGAGATGGACTCCTCAGAGCCAGCTGAGCAGCAGGACCACCTATGTTAGTGACCTCTGCATTTGATTAAGAGACCTGCCGCAAGGAAAAGTAGAACAGTGAAGGGCAGTTCCCAGCATCAACCTCTGAACATGCACATTCACGTACACACACACAAATGCAAAGCCAAGCGTTGGGCTACATACCTGCAATCCCAGCACTCGTGACGCTAAGGTAGTATCTATGGGTATAAATTCATTGTGAGGTTTTACTAGATACAGGTTTTATTTACTATTATACAATCAGCTACTCCAAAAATGGTGGTTTATGACAATAGCAGATACTTGTTTTATTCCTAAGCCTGGAAGTTGAATTTGTTGCTGTAAGTTTTATGGCTTAATACGGTCCCTTTTTATGAGCTCACAGTTTTAACGTGAAAGTCCAGACAGGAATCCCCCTGCTCAGAGTATCACAAAAACTGAGACCATGCTGTAGGCCAGACTGATGCCATCTCGCAGGGCTGGGAAGGACTCCTCTTCCAGGTGTGCTGGTGTTGGCGGTGTAAATCAGCTCTGAGGGCCTATTTGCTTGCTACTCGTCAGTCAGAGAACCCTCTCATCTGCTGCGGGCCACCTCCTCTTCAGAGTTGGCAATGAAGAACTTCTCTGTTGTCTTAATAACTCTGTACTAAAAATCTTTTTCATGAAGAGCCTGGTACTTTTAAATAGGTTCTCTAATTATGTCATGCCCACTTGTCCTAAGGTCACTTGCTGTGATGGCCTTACTTATCCCCTCACAGCAGCCCCTGTATGAGCAGTGACATTGGGGAAATATTCCAGCCTGGGAAGCCTTGGGGACTACTTCAGGGCTTTATCTACGACAAATAATCACACCTCCACCATCAAGGGCCATAAAATCTCACTCACTCAGTTCCTGGAAATGATGAGCAGGTTTGCTCACAGGGATGTTTCTTCCTGATGTTGGTAAAGAGCAAGGTCAGCCCTTGTGCAACCCAGACTGCTCCAACTTCAGCGGCAGCTGCATAGGCAAGGAGGGTGTGCTGCTCTGCTCGCTCTGCCGTAGCTGGTAGCCCTGTTTTTCTTGTAGGGGTTGATGATTCCGTTAGGGAGTACCTAGAGAACTAAGCACAATGTTTTGCATACAATAAAGTGCTTTAAAAGAGTTACATTTTAGGTATGCATTTTTGTTGAAGTTGCATGATTTTGGTGTGTTAAGAATGAACAGAGTTTTCTATTTTGAAGAACCCACAAGTAAGAATAAAAATTTCCTTTTCTGACTTGAAGTTTGTGTTGGTGATTTACTGTTACACGTTAGCTACTTTTCATGGTAAGCACTGCAACTCTTAAGTTAGAGTGGGATTTAAGTGAATCTCTAATGTGCTAATTTGATACATTTTAGTAATTAGGTGCACTAGGTGGTATGTGTACAGTAGTGACGTGTCATCTCACTGCCTGAGGTTACTTCTGGCTCTGCCCCTCAGTTCTTAGTGGTCTGTGTAGCTGGGAGAGTGGAGGGACCAGAGTGCTGCGTAATTACCACATTTCCTCCATCTCCTCTTCCTAGGAGAAACTGCAGGAGTGCCTAAAGCAGCTGAAGGAGGAGAGGGCGGTCCGCCTCAAGGCTGACAAGCGCGTCAGTGAGGTAAGCACGTTTTTCTCCCACAGTTCAAGTTACTTGTTGGTTTTGGTTTGGTTTCAAGTTGTTCTGTACTTACAAACTTTAAAATACTTGAAAATGATAAGGCACAGTGTATTGTGAGCTGTGTTGAGCATTTTAACCATTCATTCATTCATTCATTCATTCATTCATTCATTCATTCAGTGTCATTAGACATGTTCCAGAGAGTGTATTGTAAAAAATGTAGGAAATAGCTTGCTCCTCCCTCCTGGCTTTGACTGCCATGTAAGAAATGTATGTATTTGGTTTATACTGTATATGTGATGTAAGTGGAGGTGAGGCTGTCTTCTCACCATGGATTAGAGAAACAAATCCTCTAAGCCTGGCTGTAGCACCAGTGCTGGGTTGGCCAAGACTTGGGGACTATGCCTGGCCAGACGCAGTTTTTTAAAATTAGAAGTCTAAGGTAATGACAGGTTCCTCAGAATGCTGTGGGAGATTGAAGTCTACACTGTGAGCCCTGAGCTAGACTATCGGACTACTTTGCAGAACACTGACAACTTTTACACTAGTGCTTTTTTAACCACAAGGTAAATGTAAAGAAGAGTCTCAAAGTATATGCATTGTCACAAGTCTTGAGCACTGGAAGACAGACATACATGTTGAAAAACAAGTTGGCATATTGAAATCAATCCTTAGTAGATTATAGAAGGGTTATAATTTTGCTTGGATCAGACTGTTATGTTTTCTAATATCAAATGAACCTTAGGTAGTTAAATCTCTGCAGCATAGTGGTCCAATGTGAATTTAAGCAGTCAGGGATGTGTTCTTTGGAAACATCAGTAAAACAATAACTCTTTTCGTCTACTTGTTATATAGGAAATTTCACCAAGTGTCTCCGGTGAAGGTCATTATGTGTCATGGTTAATGTCTTCATTGATTAAGAATTAGATTAGTTAATTAAATGGTTTAAAAAATGTGATAAGTTAATTACATTTTTGAATGTTTTAGTTTAGGTATTGAAAATGTTTCTTTAGATGGTAGTGAGGAAATCACACTACATTCTCACCCTCTTTTGTAGCTGGAACATGAAAATGCCCAGCTAAGAAATATCAATTTCTCCCTGTCTGAAGCCCTCCAAGCCCAGTCATTGACAAGCATGATCCTGGACGATGAAGGGGTCTTGGGCAGCATCGAGAACTCTTTCCAGAAGTTCCACGCGTTTTTGGATCTCCTTAAAGATGCGGGGTATATCTGGAGGGTGGGCATTCTTCTTCAGTGGCGTTCATGGTAGCTTGCTGAGGAACTTGACATTTTTAGCTTCCACAAGACATCTAACAGTATGTTTGATTTGCTTTTTAGTGGAGAATTCCTTTTAAAAGAAATGCAGAGTGGTAAACCTGCTTTCTTAGAAATCCCATCATAAAAAAAAAAAAAAAACATAAAGAGTGCTTAGTGGTCTTGGTAAAGATAAGTTAATGCATTGAGCATATGAATTATATACATTTTTGTCTGCTATAGATATATCCCTTAGCATGTTTTTAAAAAGACTAAGTTAAAGATCATTTCATTGAAAATATTTAAGAATATACAGGAGATTTCTTACTTTTTATTCATCTTGCTTATTAAATAAGATTTGAGTTAAATCCTTCTGACCCTTAGGCTTCAGGATGTAGTTGATCTCCACAGGTGCTGTAGACACGGGAGTAGGTCTGAGTTCTCACCTAAGAACACTAGTGTCAGAAGAAGATGCCAGTCAGGCATGGTGGCACACACCTGTAGTCCAACACGTGAATGGTAGAAGAAGGAGCAGAGTTCAAAGTCACCCTTAACTACATAAAAATTTTGAGTCTAGTTTGGGCTACATGAGTCTCAAAATCAAAGAAAAAAAAAGGTGCTAAAAGTGAGAGCTGAAGGGGGCAGTGTTGGAGGGGAGTGCATAGTGGCTGAAGGGAGCTGAGGAGAGGGTCAGATGGATGGAGAGGGTCAGATGGATGGAGAGGGTCAGATGGATGGAGAGGGGAGAGGGTCAGATGGATGGAGAGGGTCAGATGGTTGGAGAGGGGAGAGGGTCAGATGGATGGAGGGGGGAGGGGGTCAGATGTGTGGAGATGGAGAGTGGGAACTGTTGGAATAGTCTTTAAAATGAAGCACTGATGGCTGCTATGGAAAGTCAGGTGATAACGAGTGTATTCCTGAGGGGAGTTGGGGTGCTAAGAGGATGGGGTAATATGGTCCAAAGGTCACAGAGCAGAGAGGCGGCAGTTAGGATGGGGCTGTTGTCTGAAGTAGGTATCGGCTCCCAAGATTTTTCGATCTTGGTGTTCATTTATCCACCTATTTCATGCTCGTGGGTGTGGGTGACTTTAAGTTCTTCCCAAGTGAGTGCCTTTCCTCTTCCTGTCTGCAGGCTTGGGCAGCTTGCCACTATGGCTGGTATAGATCAGTCAGACTTCCACTTGTTAGGTCGTCCCCAGATGAATTCTACAGTTAATTCACCTGTAGAAGAACAGAAAGCACTTGAAGATGAAAATCTGGATCTGAAACAGACAGCCATAGCACAAATGCAGGATATCCGGGTAAGTGGACCTGTCAGACCTTGGTTAAAGCCATTAGCAAGGAGTCCCCCAGGTTGAGAAAGTACTGGTGGTCTATCTCTGGCACAGTTAAATTTGTACCTATTTTCAGAAGCTGCATCATTGTCAGTAAGAAAACAGGTATGGGCATGATGCTGCACACCCTTGATCCCAGTGCTTGGGAGGCGAGGACAGGCAAGTCTCTGTGAGGCTGAGATTAGCCTGCTCTGCATAATGAATTCCAGACTAGTCAAGACTACATAGTGAGACCTTATCTCAAAAAAAAAAAAAAAGACAAAATTGGAAGTTTTTTGATAATTTATACTTGAAATAAGCAATCTTATTTCAAATCAGTGAAGAAAGAAAGAGTAGAGAGATAATCGGGATTTAAAGTGTTGTAAACTGCTATTGGATTCATGTCTCCTCTAGGCTTCTGTCTGTATCCAGTCAGTTTACAATGAAGGGACACTGATGAAGGTCCAGATGCTAGTGCCGAGACCGTCCGAGACCAGTCATCTAGACAGACTAGCATGCTTACAGCCCCTGTTAGTGGATGGAGGGGGCTGGCTGTCACGGGACAAACTCCCCACCCCCACCCCCACCCCTACCCCCGATATTCTTTCTTCTGCCTCACCAAGACCCAGCAGCCAGTCTAAGACTTGTCTGAAGACCCATTGGCTTGAGAGCTCAGTCGTGTCACACCTTGGATACTTCACATACAGAGTGATGCTAGAAATTAGGTTTCTTAGATATAGTTTTGTTTTATTGTTTTAATGTGTAAAATTTAAGCTAATTATAGAGAACAAAAAAATTCTAAAAATATACAGCTACCTCTGGATATATATTTTTTGAGTTGCCAATCACATGGCATCATATAATTAAGAAAATGAATGACTGTAGAATCTTCTGAGTAGTGAACTGACTGCTCAGTAAGATCGCAGTTACAGGGCTGGAGAGATGGCCTGACTGTTGAGACTGCTATAGCTCTTCTAGAGGACGTGAGTAGAGTCCCTAGCTCCCGTGTTGGGTGGCTCACAACCACACTTAACTATCGCTCCAGGGATCCTATGCCTCTTCTAGCCTCTGCAGTCAGGCTCATATCACACACACACACAGGCACACACATACACACAGACACACGCACACACACGCCTCTAACTAAAAAGAGTAAAAGTAAACATGAAAACAGACACAGAGTGAGGCTTTCACCTCTGTGGTGGCTCGCTTTGTTCTCAAGCCTTATTGTTCTCCTCGTAGATTCAGAAGATTACAAGTGATGCCACAATCCCTGTACCTCTTGACACTGTCCAGGTTTCGGCTTCTACACAAGAGGCAGCGGTAGCTTCTAGAGACAACCTGGGAGTTATAGCCCTGGAGCAGCAGGAGGGATCTGCAGCGGGATTCATTGCTATGACAGGCTCTCCCTTAGCAGATGGCATTTCTGGAGGCAGGAGTCAAAGAGAAGAGGTGATGTTGTCTAAACACAGCAGGTCCTCGACAGAGAAAGGGAACGCGGCAAGTGAGTCCTCCAGAAGGCAGTCTGCTGAGAGACACTCCAGGAAGAACCTCCTTTCTGACTCTGACTCTCCTGTGAACTCACAAAGCAAAGGATCTGGGGAAAAACGGTCATTGCTTAATGAGCCAATTAAAAGTGAATCTTTGAAAAAATGCATTTCTATCAAGAAAGAAAATAGAATAGTGACTGTCTCACCCAAGACTATCAAAAGTAAACCCAATCCGCTAGAACATTCTGAAAGTGATACCCTTGGGTCTGATTTTGAATTTCAGGAACGCGTCCATTCGTCAGCACACCTGACCTGACATAGGTCTAACCTTTTGAAATTATGATTTTTGCTTTTAAATTTTAATAAATTTTCTTATGTTTTTATTATATTGAGTGATATATTAAAATACAGGGCTAGAAATACTATAGGGAAATTTTTCTATACTTATTTTAAAATCTTGTTTTTCCTTTTCACTCACATAATTTATTTGGCATATATTTGTAGAAAGTCTAATTTATGAACACTTGTGGGTGTGGTGGCTTCCAGCAAATAAGGAAGCAAAGTTTTTACCTTCGTGGAACTGCTACTGTGTGCAGGGGACAAAATGGTGAAGCAGGGGGTGGGGCCAGCAAGGGATGGGACTAAATACCTGAAAGGCTGCAACATCTGGCTAAGTGTAGAAGGGGGCGTCACTCCAGAAAGCCTTTGGCATATCCTAGTAACTACCCAGAGCAGCAGACATCTTTATAAGTCCTTAACTATGATTAAGTTTTCAGCAGCTTTGGTTAAGGTATGCTAGGCCATTTTATAAATGAATTTGAAGAAACAATATATGAATGGCCCAAAGTTGTAACCACTTAGAAACAGGTGGTACTGTTGAAGTTCTGACTGGATCCTGTGTGCTAAATCATTTAGTTATCCCATTTCCCTGTTAGGAACCAGACAGCTCAAAGAAGATGGCAAAGAAATGCCGTTGGACACTGGCAGTTCATGAACAGGACTGTCAGAGGCATATCTGTCCCTTACCCCAGCTGGGCAGAGTATGTAAGAGCATGAACTAACCCTAGGCTAGTTTTCCCTGCCTGGCAAACCACAGATAAGGTGTGAGGAAAGCTGGTGGTGTTAGGATCTCTTGTAGATACCCTGCCTGATGGTAAAGAAGGCTATGAGTTCATTAAGTATAGATTATCACAGGGAAAACTGCACAGGATATAGTCTTGTCTCTGCCCTTTATCAGAAGGAAAGGCTGTACATACAAACAAATGTCGTTTCCGTATTATATTCTATAATGATGGTGCTAAGAGTTTGGTCGTAAAGGAGGGAGGCCATCTAAAGAGAATAAAGGCTGTGTCTGTCTAACAAGCAATCACCTCATGTCCTCAGTGAAGTTAAACTGGTTACATTCTGGTGGGTAAGAACCTGAAGACAAGGCGGTACCTAAGACAGGGAGCAGCGATGTCTTGTGTTTGGAAAACTACAGACATGGTTTTAGCCTAATGGAGCCATACAGGCAGTGTCCAGGGAGACCCCAGAAGCTCTTACAGTCCGTGCTGCATTGGGGTAGAAAAAGTAAACAGAAAACCAAAATTACATGTGTAGCTTTCATTTCTATTTTTTAACTTTTTCATGCTTGGGATTTCAGGATTGAACCAAGGTCTCACGTGCCAAGGTTCACCTTCTAGATCCTTAGCCTGACTGTGGAAGCAGTGGCCGAGGTTTCCCTACTTTTCTTTAATCCCGAGTGTTGGGAGTAAAGGCATGTGCTACTATGCCTGGCTGTGGTTTTCGTCTTGGCTTATTTTTATTGGTTTTTGTTGTTGTTTTATTGTTTTTATTTTGATTTTGAGGTTTTTTTTGTTTTTGGTTTTGTTTTGTTTTGTTTTTTTCGAGACAGGGTTTCTCTGTGTAGCCCTGGCTGTCCTGGAACTCACTCTGTAGATCAGGCTGGCCTCGAACTCAGAGATCCACCTGCCTCTGCCTCCCAAGTGCTGGGATTAAAGGCGTGCGCCACCACCGCCCGGCTGATTTTGAGTTTTTTGTTTGGGGTTTGTGTATGTGTATGTGTTTGTGTGCGTGTACAAGTATGCTATGGAATGGAGTCAGGACCTTGTACACAGAAGATGCTCTATCACTGAGCTGTATCTTACCAAACCTGTTCCTCTCCTACCCCTCACCCTGCTGGGATTCTAACTGTATTCCAGGATGCCTGTAATTTTCAGTTCACACCTTTACTTTTCAGTTTTGTTTGCTGAAAAAAAGAAATTTTAGATGAATTTACTTTTATTATATGTTTGACTGTTTTGCCTCCATGCATGTATGTGTATGCCTGATGCCCACAGAGGTCAGAAGAAGCCAGTGACCCCACTGGAACAGGAGCTGGACTAGTTGTCAGCAACCGTATGCGAGCTGGAAACTGAACCCAGGTCCTCTTCAAGAACAAGTGTCCTTAACTTCTGAGCTACCTCCTCAGCTTCCTTAGTTGTGTTTTGAAACTGTCTCTGTATGTATTCCTGGCTGTCCTTGACTTTGGGACAGTTCTGCCTTTTGAATGCTAGGAATACGGGCACATGCCTGGCCTTGTTTTTTGTTTAATACTACTCCATATTAAGTTTTTAGTGGAGTAGTATTAAATGATAAAACGTAGTAATTTAAAACTTTTACTTTGTTGGTATTATGTGCATGCACGTGTGTGTGTGTGTGTGTGTGTGTGTGTGTGTGTTTGTCTTGGGGTGCCCATGTGCCATGGTGTGTGTGTAGCAGTCAGAACAACTCTGGAGTCTGTTCATGTCCATCTTTACATGGGTTCCAGGGATTAAGCATAAGTTGTCACAGTTGCACAATAAATGCCCTTACCTGGTGAGCCATCTCATCTGCCCTGGAATAATTGTAAAACTTTGTATGTATATGTATATGCTTTAAAACAAAAATTGTGAGGAGCCAAAGAGATGACTCAGTGGCTAAGAGTACTTAGTACCCTTGTACTAACTAACTAACTAACTCCAGTTCCAGGGAAACTGATGCCCCTTTCTGGCTTTTGAGGTCACGAGACACTCATGTGGTGCACAGAAATACATGCAGGCAAAACATCAACCCACTTTTTTTTTTTTAAAGATTGTCATTATAGAGAACATTCTCAGGTCTCTCCACTTTGATCCTGTCTGCTTGCTCTAATGGCATACAATTAATCGTTTTTACGTATTTTTAAAGCTGCCCCTTTCTGATGTTATCTGTTTCTCAGACTTAATGCTAATGTAAGAATTTCCAATGATGACCTCAAAATCATCTGCCCAATCTGTTATTATGAAATGGGGGTCAGGGTTCGTCGTGTAGCCTAAGATGACTTTGAACTTGCTTTGTACAGTCTGAAATTGAACTCATGGCTGTCCCCCAGTCTCCACCTCCCAAGTTAGGCTCCATTTTAAAGAGCAGAAACCAGGGATCCTGGAGGAGCACACAGGAGAGGCACCTGTTCATCTTGCCCTTCCCTCAAGCTCTGTCTTGGGTGAAGAGGCTGCCATAGGGCATCCGCCCACTTTCCCTTTCCGCAGGACCAGATTCTGGCATTCTGTCGCTTGCCCTGTGCAGTCCCTGCTGTGCACAGGCCATGGGGTGAGAGGTTGCCTCAAAGCCCAGCTGCAGCCTCTTGCAGTTTTCTAGTTGTTTCTCATCTCTTCCTTTTCCTTTCCGACCACTTTTCCCTTTGTTCTTATGTGCACCTGAAATAATTCTATTATGTCTTAACTATTCCTGAAACTAAGACTGAGGTCGTCCACCTTCCTTTGAGATTGTTTCTCCTCTCTGAAGTAGAACCTAATGTGCAGCATAGATGTCTTTTTTTTTTCATTTCTTCTTTCTCTTTAGTTTCACATGTGTCTAAATTACAAAGCATCTGTTGCTGAGGTCCAGACATTAAGAACATGATTTATAATTGTACTGTGGTTTTGCTTGAATGGTTCTCAAGCCTGTGTGTAGAGGCATGAGGGGATTTAAAGGGAGGGAGATACAAAATAAAGGCAGGGACATCAGACTTTTTTCCTTTATTCTTCCTTCATAGATTACATATTCCAGCTGCAGTTCCTCTTCCCCCCCTTTTCTGGCATTCCCCCTTCATCCTCTCTTCCCAAGATCCACTCCTCCTTTCAGAACAGGGCAAGCTTCCCAGGTTTTAAACCAAACATGGCATCTCAAGTTACAATAAGACTAGACAAAAGCCCTCATATGAAGGCCACCCATTAAGAGGAAAGGGGCCCTAAAAGCAGGCAAAAGAAGCAGCCCAAGTTTCTACTCTTAGGAGTCCCACAAGAACACCAACCTACAGAGCCATAACATGGAGAGGACTTAGGTCAGTGGTCCCTGGTCATCATTATTCAGTCTCTATGAGCCCTGGCTAGATGATTGTATGGGCCATTGGAACACCAGGCTCTTATCGTCCAGGAAATAAGCTCCCTCCCTGAATGAGGACCCCTTTCCAGGACCCCCATTTGGCTGTTCCTGTCTTTAAAACATCTGTTTTCTGTGATCTAGGAGCTCAGGTTAAACAGTTAAAAGCAAGGTTTCCAACCAAACTTGCTAGTTCAGCCTGTTGTGAGCCACAGACCTCATAGTGAAAGGGCAAAGTCGAGAGGGAAATTTTCTAGCCTTAAAACAGGAAAGAATGAGCCGAGCAGTGGTGGCGCATGCCTTTAATCCCAGTACTTGGGAGGCAGAGGCAGGCGAATTTCTGAGTTCGAGGCCAGCCTGGTCTACAGAGTGAGTTCAGGACAGCCAGGGCTATACACCAAAATCCTTTCCCGAAAAACCCAAAGTTACCTGAAAAAAAAAAAAAAAAACCCAGGAAAGAATGTTATTTTCTTACCTCCTGGCTAGCTCTGCCAGATGTGTTACCAGTGGTCAGAACCTGGGCTGGGTGCTAGCAGGTTCTTGGACTCTTTTTCAAGAATAAAACAAATACAATGGATGAAAGCCTACATAGTCTGCAAACAGGTCCAAATATGTTAGAAGAAAGCCACAGGAGTGAAGGTGCTCCCGGGACACTTACTCACCGGAGGGAAGATAGTCGAGGGCTCTTTACTGTTTGGAGCTTTCTTTCATGGGCTTAAAAGGGGAGGAGTTTGGTTATTAGGAATATAGTTTGGATGATTCTTACTTTGATTGACAGACAACCTTTGTTCCCTCACGTCCCTTCCCATAATTCATCTCCTTTTAGTCATATGCCCCCCCTCAATTATTCACAGACATAAGATGGTAGGTAGGGATTCTCCCTGAAAGTTCACTCGGTGACATCGTTTTTCATATTCCCAGTTCTGTCTGAGTCGGCTCTCTTACCCTGGACCAGGGTGTATTAGGAGGAAGATTGAATTGGAACTGTCCAAGACTAGGCTGGTAA